AGTACGAAATGCTGACAGTGCTGTCGTGTGAGAGGAGTGAGTACCAATGATTGATGAAGTGATTGGCAGAGACGATGTAGATGTGAAACTTGAGATGCCTGATGGTGATGTTTGTCTTGGTGGTCTAGAATGAATGGAAATGAAAAACTTAATTTGACATTTTTCAAGTGTCATGTATTAAGTTAGAAATATGTCATTTTTTTATCTCAAATCTTAAACTAATTTCAGTTTAATTTTTAACCCAGTGAAGATCAGCTGTTAATGATATGATATCATTCACAAATATGATTTATAAAATAACAGTCCAGACTGCAACGAAACAGATTTAAAATCAAATTCAAAACATCAGCTATGGTTGATAATTCAAGCTCAGCACGACTTAATCCTCATAAAATGTTCATGGTTAAGGAATAAGTTTTGCACTAAACAAACCTTCGATCAGGATTCCCGCGAATGGGCTTACTTTTCTGTCCCGGAGCTGGCGACTGGAACCTGAATGGTAGCACTCTCGCACACGTAGCAGATAAATCGCGCTAAGAAAAAAAAGGTTTTTAAACTTACTGTATGAAAGAAAAAATCGGAAAATGTAAAAGACATAAGAAAGTGAAATCCCAGAAGGAGGCAAGTATGAAAAAAAAAAAACGCAAAAAGAAATATAAGCGAATAAAATCTACGAATAGTTCTATTCATAGTCACACTACTCTCTGAACCGAGTTATGCTTACCTTTTTTTCGCCTTTATTAATTCTTAATCTCACATCAGTTAATAACATTTATAATACCTGCCATTCAGAAAAAAAAAATGATGCATTTCTCTGATTTTATCTCTTTTCAGTTTCCAATAACACTTTTTTTTTGAAAAGGAATCTTGAAACTACAAAGGTAATGGATTTTTATTTCATCTTTGTAATGAAGCATTAGAAAGTGAATGTCACCTGTCTTACCCGCCGTTTTTTAGGTCTCAAATATTCTCCAGTTATCTCTGAATCGAAATCTTCTTCATCTGCAACAAACAACTAATACCATCCAACTTTAAGAAAATGTTCAATTAGAAAAAAAATCATGAGTTAAGGATCGAAACAAATTGAACGCACTCTTTTGCACTGATTAACAGAATGTAGATAGAATTCTAATAGGAACCAACAAGGATGAAAATCGGATAACAAAAATAATCTATAAGCTACGATAAAATAAAAAAACATATATCATGCTAAAAAAAAAAATACAAACAACCTTGGAGACCACACTTCGATATAAGAACACCTTGATCAGCAGAAGTAACAACTGGGGTTGAACTGGAACTTGAAGATGGGCAAGATGTCAATTCAAGAGAACTTGGACGTGCTGTACTTGTTGACGGCGTCATGTCGTAGTAAAGAGTTGTTTTTTGGTTTGAATTAGCAACATATAATTCCTCTGCATTCTGAGTAATTTTTTTGAACTGTTGAGTTTCATCAAACGGCTAAAAACTCGTATTATATATATCAATAAATTAAAATAATGAGAATTTCATGTTTTTCAAGTCAAAAATATTAGCAAAATCTCGAGAAAAAATACCTTGCGAATTATTTAAGACACCTTAAAATACTTATAATTACTAAAATCGAATAACATTAGATAATAAAAGATAGTCCGAGTCTCTTTTAAGTGGCACACAATGCAAAAATAGTCAGTTACATCTACAGATGAAAAGTTATCAAATAAATTACACCTGCTCAGTACCAAAAAGTCTTAGGTTCTGTGTGACTTATATGAAATGGAAATTTAATAACCAATGTTTCAGATTTGATGAGACCAGAGGTTATGCGAGAATTTCGTGCACTACTCTCATGTTCGCCAGAATGCAGTATATCAACACGTCCATCATAATCGTTCTCCGTTTCACGCAACAATAAGCGCAGCCTTTCCGGAACTATAACATAATACATTTCGGAAAGGATAAGTGAAGTCTAAAAACGGTAAAAAAATGCTAAAATTCAAGTGAACGAATTTCAAAAAGAGAAATCAGTGTTTATAATCTAACATATTTCGATTTACAAAGCACAAAACGATGAACCGGTATTGTAACAACTTACCGTAAGGAGCTTTGGGCAATGTAATCATTTCATGCAATGCAGTATTTGCATCTCGCAACCTTTCATTATGTGTCTTTGCAAGTCTCAATAATTCATTTGCAACATTTTGGTCTTCATTACTGTCATCATCAATATCCTCTTGAATGGGAATCTCAAAACAATAAGTAATGACAAATGATAATTTTTTCACGGTACTAATCACAAGTGCTGAATTTGACTAATATTTTATATTTAGAAGACAGATTTCTGTGAGCATGAAAATAAATTAAAGTCAAAACAACGTATCTCGAGAGGAAATTATGCATCGCATAATCATTAGTTTTAAAACTCACGTCGCCATAATGTGGTATCGGATCCAATCCTTCGATTCCCCACTGCGCATATGTATCATACGACGGGCTTAAACTATAAGAAGAACAATTTGGCACAACAGAATTTGTAGCTCTTCATCATAAATTCGATTTAATACTGAGAAACATTCTAACTAATATATCCCTTCCATTCACAATAGAAAACAAGACAACAAGCACAAAACTGAGCATTCTTCACTGATTTTACAAATAAACGGATAGATTTAGAAGACCAAGATATACGTTTGCGCTATTTTCGTCAACATTTCATCATTAGCTGCTTGTCGTATTTCAGCGTGATAGGACTCGTCAGATATGCTATAAAATTACTTCATAACCAAATATTCGTGGAAAGAAAAATTATATATTGCCACAGCCCTACAAACACATGCCATCTTATACTAAGTAGTACCATGAAATAATTAGGCATTAAACAGACCAATAAAAAACTGGATTAAGTATGAATACGTACAATAAAGCTGTCTTCAAATGTTCGAGTAGAATCCTTTTGTAACCATTCAGCATTCCCTGAGCACGGAAAGCGGAAACAACCGTCGAGAAAGCGTCCTTCTCTGAAATCTAACACATTAATGAATTTGATACTTTATTTGCAATCAATCACCAAAAGCTTGAATAATAACAAAGTCATCAGAAATATCATATATCAAAACTTACCGAGTACACGTAGCATATAACTACAGTCTTCCTCATCATAAGTATTATTCCTCACTGTAACCCTCTCTTTGGTAAGTTTTTCATTCACAGTAATAGTTTCATTCTTTTCCTGTTCCTCAGTTGCTGTCTTGATCCTTGAAGACACTCGAAATTTTTGCTGATCCATTACCACAGCATTTTTTAATCCCAAGCGATCCTGAACAGAATAACATATTTTAATGGATGAATAGCAAGTATAAAGGAACGACCGTTGCTTCATTTCGAAAACCAATTCAATTAATTCCATCTAAAAACACCAACAGAATGACTTTGATGGATACTGATGGGATCAATATTGGTAGTCCAGCAAAAATGTACTGAGATGGAAGAAATATTAGGAAAAGGAACTATTTCGAGCTTTAAAGAACCGTCTAACAACTGAGAGATGTCTTCTAGAAATGTTCAGTGATTCCAGAATGCATTTGTAGAACAACTCACGTTAAGATAATATGTCTGACATAAAAGATAGGAAGGACTCGCTAGGTCTGTTTCACATTCATCCTTATTTATTTCTTACTAATCCTCTCCTCTCTCCTATTCTGAAATATATGACAAGATGAAAGAGTAAGTTAACAAAACAGAAAATGATTCCAAAGATTGCAACAATTCCCAAACTTCACTCTTTTTCTTGTTTCTCACAATGAACCAAGACCACGTCTCAAGTGGAGCTAAGAACGGGACAAACGAAAAAAGCATACATAATAAGAACGGGGTAAGATAAGTAATTCATGCGCCCATTCAGATGAACAGTTGAAACAGATGGTAGAGGGAGGAGTGCACAATCGCACATCTCTCTCTCTCTTTCCCTCCGTCTTCTCCCTTAGAAAAAGAGGCATTGAGGTCATCCCGTGGATTCATCATACATTTTGAATTCTCAAACCTTGCTAATCAGTGTTACAAACAAAGAGACAGTTCAGTATTCAGTGCTACTGTTGCTTCATTTCAGTCTCCCCATTCCTATCAACCTGTTAACTAGTTCTATAATTAGTGGATCGTACCTTTAAGACACAGACGAAAGATTAAGGTTTATAACCTCCATCCAACAATTTTAATAAAGTCATGTAATTGAACAAATACAAGGACTGACGCCAATCATCGGAAAAAACTAGATTAAATAGCCGTACGGCACGCACATTTGCAATCCTTCACCATCACACAAAACTTGATTGAGATTCAGGAAACAGTGATAAATAGTCGAGGTAAAAGTATCCCTCGCACCCTGAAGGCTTCAGTTCTGCTATAAGCTAAAGATATAACTTGCTGCACCTTCCCTCAGTCTACCTTGCTCACCTTACTGAATTCCTCCAATTTGAATATGGCGCGTCCTAAGGGAGCTAAACTGTGTCCCATTGCGAACTGCTTCGTTCCAAACAGGACATGTTGAGTGGCGGTGTGCGTTGCGGTCATAGGGAGATTTGGGTTGCTTGTAGAGATCTGTTCTCTTTATGGCGGTATAATGCGCTCGAGTGAGGTGCAGAGTCGGACTGTAACTCACTGTCATGTTATAATAAGTGTTGAGTGTTGCGTCTTCGTCAAACTGAACTGGAAATGATAACCATATGGGTTAAGTAAATTAGGCTGAGAAAGAGTTGTCATTATAAATGATGAGGAGTTCCAGTTCTACATTCGTCTTTACTAGAGCATTTATCATACCTTTTTTACACTTGGAGCTATAATAACGCTGAAGGATCTACTATGATCGAAAGTGAAAAATTATTTTTTCAACTTTTTTGACAATGGTTTCTTCAGTTTTCCATATCATATGGTGTCTGCAAAACTTCCAATATATAATATGTTATTCACTCCTGTTTTAGGCTGCTGTGATATTTAGTTTTCATCAACCGCTATAGAAGCACGTCATAATGAGGTATGTTGCAGCATTACGTTAATTGGCTAAACTCCATTAATTGATCCGAGGTTTTAAAAAAACGTTAGTTGAGTAGGAGGATGAACTCAGTAAGTCATAATAACATTGTAGTAACAAAAGTTTCAGTGCGTAGAAATTACAAGAATTGAAGGTCAAGCATAGGATTTTTTAATTTTATTAGTTATTAGTTTCTCCATTTCATTAGTTCGTACAAGATTGGGAACAAAGTAGTTCATTTTTTGTAGTGGACTGCGGCTTCAGAAAAGATTGGCCTCAGATGTATTAAAGTGTGGTAAGAAAAAAGTGTGGTTGGATCCTAATGAAATCAATGAAATTTCTAACGCCAATTCGCGGCAGAACATCAGACGACTTGTTAAAGATGGTTTGATAATTCGTAAGCCAGTTGCAGTACATTCACGATATCGTGCTCGTAAAAACCTGGAGGCTCGCAGAAAGGTTTGTTATGCGTCTCATGTTTGCATTTTTTAAGCACCTTAAGAAACTCGAACATAGAGGAAATTGGCCGAAACTCTTCTGTAACATTCTTTTTCATTTCTATGTTATTATAGGGTCGTCATATGGGTCACGGAAAGAGGCGTGGTACACAGAATGCACGTATGCCGGAAAAGATTTTGTGGATCCGTCGAATGCGCGTTCTTCGTCACCTGTTGAAGCGCTATCGTGAAGCAAAGAAGATTGACAAACATCTGTCAGTTATTAAGTTTTTTCATTATTTTATGCTAAATTTTGTATGTATGTCACAAATGACACTTTTTACTTTTAATTTGCTTCATATTATCCATATACTTTTACAGGTATCACGACCTTTACCTTCGAGCGAAGGGTAATGCATTCAAAAACAAGCGCAATTTAATGGAATTCATTTTCAAGAGAAAGACTGAAAATGCACGCTCCAAACAATTAGCGTAAGTGTTTCGAAGCGGTTTTTGTCTTGTGTTGTCTCTTCACGTGACGTGAAAAAATTTAGGTGTGCCATAAAATTGAGATGTTTTTGAAATTTAAGAATGGTCAGTTCGATGATTTAAGAGTTCCAAAAAACACAAGTAATGTTTGCTCAGAAAATCTGCTTTAATGTAATTTAACAATTGTAGGGAACAAGCAGAAGCACGCCGTGCCAAGAACAAAGAATCCAGAAAACGACGTGAGCAACGTTTAATATTGAAAAGAGCAGAAGCTTTGCGTAAAATCTCGGAGAATGAGAAAGAAGCAGTCGCTAGTAAGGAAACAAAAGAGTCGAAACTAGTGGAGAAGTGAAGCGGTAAATTACACGTTTATTTGGATACGCAAAGTTGTAAACATAATTGGTTCCTTGTTATTAAGTATCTTTGCATAAATCCTGTTGTTTTCTTGCTCGCAAATGACTGAAGTTGTTGAGTATCATATGTCAGCTTTAGTCGTGTTTATAATTTATAGATTCACCAAAGCAGTTGAATATTAGGATATTATATAGGTATAAGGATAGGCTTTAGAAGTCAGATTAGTGTTTCCTGTAGATTTTTCTACCTAATGAACTTGGAACTGGAAAAGAAAAGTGAAGTAGGCTTGCTGACAGACTATGGAAAAGAAGGGAAATTTAGCGGTGTAATGGGTAATATGTATGTGTGGGATATGAGGTATCAAATAAATTTGATTTGTTGCAACAGCTAGCAGTTGATTAACAGACATTCTTACTCAGAACTTATCGTTGGGAGTGATTATACGCAGGTAATTTTAGGGTGTTATACCCTGTCTGATCTCTTCAGTGCTGTCCGTACCTTTTTCTGTCGCTTGTCTTGGCATAGGAAGTGGTCGAGTTGATGGTGGCGATGAGGCATGTGTTATCATTGATTGGGAGATATTTGATGGTCCTGGTTTAATTTCGGGCTCAGAGATTTCTTTAGACTTAGTGACTGGTTCTTTTAGTTTTTTCTCATGGTGAACTTGAACCTGAAAAAAAAGTGGGCTTGCCGATTGTCAACGTTATTACAAAATCAGTTTTAATGAGAAGGAAATAGTAGCTTAACATTACTACACTGAGGTAGTATTTCATTTTCATTAACTGTTTTATGGATGGAATTAACCTGTTCATCAAATGTCTTCGTGAAGTCAGGCAGGGGACATTCTGAAATCCTGTATAACGATGATGGTGTCACATCGTAACCATATTTCTTCATATCTTTGAGTACAATATCCATAGTTACGGTGATGATTCCTTGACTCCTCACTTTTGTAACTTCAAATTTATCACCACTTAGAATGGTCAGAAGATTAGAACAGACAGAACAATTTCCAGTTTTTGAAACATTGTGAACTAATCACTGTTTTCAAAAAGTTTTTGTAAATTTTTTACCTTGTCGGCCATCTGCCGTTGCAGGGATTGTCGAATCCACAAATTCAGCTCTCTTCCCAGTAAGCCATCCAATAAAACGTTGCAATAATGTAGAAGCCTCCGGCACAAACAATATTATCCTTTTTACCGATCTAAAGTTTGTATTCGGAGACGGATTTGAAATTTCCAGTGGAACATTTATGTAACAGAACTATGTTATGTGGTGTCGTATTTTCAAAAGTTATTGGTGCGGAAAGCTATCGATCAGAGAGAGATTCAATTGTGAGGGAAGCAGGAAGCACGATAGTACTTCATTAAAATTGTTATGAATAAGCATCACATAATATAAAATACTGGACATCGAATTCTAACAAAAAATATTACCTCCCTGGAACGGTTGGAATATGCACAGCTCCATAGCCACAAACAACATCATTGCCAAAGAAATCGGACCCGTAACAGGTGAGTACAATTTGCGGCCCTGCAGAAATTATCATTTTTTCATAGATAACGTTCATTTAGACATAACTTACTAAAGATGGTCGGTCACTCAAAGAGATGTAAAATATAATGTAAAGGAAAATAAACGTGCTGCAGAAATTGACTTATTCTATGCATTTTATAACTTTTTATGAAGCATCACGTAAATCAGAATATTTAAATTAAGAATAAATTTGTATTTCAGACTGTGCGAACTAGCTCAGCTAACTTTCAATTATTTTCACGAAAAGAAAAAGAAAGACGAATTACAATCAGCATTGTAATTAATCTAAAAGTTTCTTACTATTATGGTCCATAATTTACGGTCTTAAGCAACTACTCTTTAGGTCCTATATTCTAATTTGGTAGTAAATAAAAGATTTGAAATTTTATAAAACTTTAAAATAAACTAAGCAAAAACTTACAACCAAATGGACTGGTTGAGGTAAAGGTGGCTTCAATGGGCATAGCAATAGTTATTTCAGCATTTCCGAAACGTTGACGTTCACATCGTGCACTAAGTCCTTCATGAACACCACCAACTTGTTTCCAGTCAATACCATATACATATGAGTATTTGCAGTAAAAATTATCAAAGGAGAGAAACTACAATTTACAATTGTAATTCGAGAATTAAAAAACAGCTTCAAATTTAAGTAAATGATGACAAAATTGACAAAACATTTGCGTAATTACAACTACAATTAGTAATACAATTTGAATACAATCCCAGTTGGACTAACAAAAACTTTCATTCTGCAGATCTAAGAATCTCTGATTATTTGAAAGTTTATTAAAATTTTAAAAGTCTCCTTTTCCACCTCTTATTGAAGGAGAGATAGAAATCGCAAAGATTCTGCGGAAGTATTTGTAAACGTTAAATCAAGAAATCTAGAAAAATAATAAATAGTGCAGTGATAATGTTTTATTTTTATTTTATATTAAATAAGTATTAGATGAAGAAACCTCGGCGCTATCGATTTGTCCATTAAGTAGCACAATAAAATTTGACAATTTCGGTTGTTTGGCACTCATTCATCTGTATTAAATTGAAAATTATTCTCACAATGCAAAAAAGTTTTGAATACAATATACGGGAATATACTATGATAGTGCACAAAGATTAATTTATTAATTTCATTAAAAGTAGCACGGAATATGTAACACTTTCGTTTGAGACTAAAAAGTGCTTGAAATGGTCATTTTAAAATATTTTAATCAATTTAGTTGAAGCACTAATTAAGTGGAAAATTTATACAAATTTAGGCAGTAGAGAAAATGACAATTAAAACAACTAAAAATTTTTATAAAGATGTACAGTGGAGAATTTTCCTGTCTCTGAGTTTAACCTATTTTTTGCTCCTTCTACTTCACTCATTTCTATATACTTAATTAAATTAGATTTCTTACGGCAATTGGCAAAAGGAGTTCTAACATCACCCAGTCAAAAGAACTCTTGAAATACTCTTTAATTCTAAAGCCGAAATTACGAAATTTTGGACTTTACTATTACATATGATATTTGGATTATAGCAACTGTGAAATGAACGAGATGACGAAGTAGACGTCACCATGGTGACATGCTTAACCAATCACCAAATGAACCAGTCTAGGATATCCTTTCAATAGCTGTAAGTGACCACTGAAATGGACAAGCAGTAATAAGCAGACCAACTATGATAATAAATCAATCGCATTCAATTCGTAAGCGAAACAAGATTTGTATAATTGCTTGATAGTATTTATAACTCGAAAAATACAAGAGAAAAAAAAAGAGTTGAGAAAGGTGAAAGGAAGAGATAGATGAACCACAAAAACATAAAACTATCATTCCTTATTTACAAATATATTTTGCCATAAATATTTAAAGTTCTCTACAAATATGTTAATTTACTTAGAAGCATTTTCATTGAATTTCAACAGGAGTAAGAAATTGTAGGTCATTATGCTACCTAGATCACGACTATATTCATCAAATCAAGTCGTTGAAAAAGTTAACAAACTTTGGAGACTTCTGCCTCTCAAGTACATGTAACCAGCAACCGCATGAAACTGTCATACGCTTAAGATTTGATAGAGGCTTTATTGTAATTTAAATATTTTAAATTGGAAAGACGCAGAACTGCACAGTTTTCCATTTCTATTTCAAACCTTTTTCTTTTTTTTAGAGTTTTGTGGATTGTGTTGAATTGTTAGCTACAAACTCTTTCGCTCCTAATTTTTTCTTCGAAAGGTTCAATCAAACTATTCGATTTACCTGCTTTTTTCTGAAATTGTCGATCTTTATTTCATTGCTGTTCCCACTTGACTTAATACTAACACTGACAAATTAATATTTAAATATCACTGCAGAATAATCACTCTTGAGATCATGCTAGGAAGTATGTAGCATGCATATGGAATAGTTGCGCGATCGGATTACTCGACTCTTTTCCTCTTTCCTCACCGCTTCTTCCTACGTCGTCGATCTCAACATCATCATTTTCAGAATCCAACTCTGCAATTCATTCTTTCTTTTCGTTGATCAATTGAAAATTAGATGTTCTTTTCAATCTAAGCATAATACAAATGCATTAAAATAATTTTGGGATTTTTAACAGGATGTAAACATATAGACATTTGAATACCCAAAAAGTTTCCATAAAAAAACAATCTTCATTTTTAGGCACTCTATCTTTGTTAAAAGTTAGAATGACTTTGGCAATAATTGAAAGTGACATCATAGCTTCTTACTTGAAAATGTATCTCATGTAAATTACTTGAACAAAACTATTAGGGAAAAAATTATTGAAGCGACAAAGTTGTAATTTAATCATCCTCCAGTAATATTTTTCAAAGTTTAACTTCTATAAATCTTTTAAAATTCTGTTTTTTTTCTTTTTTTTAGAAAGAATCTATTATTTAATTTAGTAGTTGATAAATTAAAACCTATTTACCGTCAGCAGAATCGCAGTTAGATTTTAGTTCATCGTTGGATTTAATATCAATTTCTGAACAAGCTGTTTCGTTTGCTTCTGATACTTCCTGTTTCCGCTGAATTTTCTTCATCTAAAGATTGTTAGTTTTTCTTGAAACTAATATTTCAATAGCGATCCAAATCAGCCTAAGAAGTGAGTTTGTATTTTCAAGCATTACATGAGCAAAAAGTACAAATTATGACTTGTTGCAAATACAATTATGACTTGTTAAAATTGTGTATCTAAATGCTTACTTTGGCACGTTGATTTTGAAACCAAACTTGGACAACTCGAACGCTTAAATTTGTTTCCTTTGCTAGTTGTTCACGTACCTATAATTAAGATTTTTGATGAATACATATTGCTCCGTTCTTTTTTCATCATTATCTTTTGCTTAAAAAAAGAGTAAGGCATTAATTAATTAGTGTAAAGTATTAATTAAAGTTTGAATTTAACCCTAAACTCTAGAATAAATGTAGAACTTTGACCTTTCGACATGGTTTCGATGTCTTTTCGAAAGCTAACTTGAAAGCTTTTCGCTGCTGAGTGTTTAAGATCGTTCTTGGCCTTTTCGGTGTCTTTCGATTCGAATCATTCTGATCGAAGTATACTAAATATACTTTAAATAATTGCAAAGACAATAGCACTTCTTTTTGCTCTGAGTCATAGTAAATAGAACTAACTAAATCAGTGAAAGCAAGGAGAAATATTAAATTTGATTTTAAATGTAAGAGCTTTTTTATAAAAAGCTAAACCAATGCTATCATTGAAGTTCGATTATATTAAAGAAACTCTTTGAAATATTCACAAAAGCAAAAATATGTGAATTTAGGCTGACAAGTCATCTTTTTTTCCTGTGTAATAGAAACAAACATTTTATTAAGAACATTCTAGACGTCTGACAATTTTCACGGACCTTCGAGATTATTCCTCTCAAAATTCTTATGCTGATATTTCAAGTAAAGAATTTACAGTGGGATTGACATATCGGCGGTTGACACAACAAATGTTCGTAGTCAGGTCTGCAAATGATTTGTCCATCCACTAGTACGTAGTGGTCACCTTTTTTAAACAAATGACCACAACAAAAACATTTAAAACAGTGAAGGTGGTAAATGCTTGCAAACACTCGATAGACATAATCTGTAGACCGAACTGGTAAACCACATCGCATACATTTCACACCAAAAAGCCTGAAAATTCCGGTATTTTCCAGTCTTTAAACTTTAAAAGAAAGCCACTAAACACAATATATTGTGCTGCAGCATAGAACGCTTCGTTTTCTTTTATTAGAATTTTTCATAATTATTTTATCTTTCATTTTCTAATTTCTTCTACAATGTTGAAAAACAGTGATATCAAAGCAGTAGCTCTGTTGACAGAAAAAAATGTAGCAGTTAATTAAGCTGACGACAGTAGCACTTTCTTTTTTCTCTCCCTGTAAGATCACAATTTATTTGCAGCGATTCTTTAATGTACATAAAATGAGCTTAGTCTTAAAAAGTTTTTTTTTTTTTTTTTAAGTTTATTAAAATAATTGAAATGATCTGATAATTGAAATTTTTGAAAATTGTTGAACAACATAAAATGTCTTTGGCATAAAGATCATTGAAATGTGTCGAAATATTTTAAAATTAATGTATCTTTAATATTAATTATCAATTGCAGATGTAAAATGTTGTCAGGAAGAGTCAAAGATCATATCTTAGCTGTTAATAACATTTTTGATGATGTGTTCTACTGAATATGCAAAACTAATATGCAGGAAATTAGTAAATAAATGTATAAAACTAATATGCAAAGAAAATGGAAATGTCAGAGTTTTCTCTGGAAGTGTCCACATAACTACGGAAGGTGACACTTTTGTTACCTACTGAGTATTACTTAATCCGTAACGGAAGTTAAAATGATGCGCTAATACTACGATATGAAAAGATATTACTGTAATGAAAATAGACTTTGGATACTCTGTAGGGAGGAAAAAGGACAATTTTTCAAATATTACTAATAAATGTGATATAAGTGATGTGCGAAATAGAAAACGATCTTCAGGCTATATTTGGCAGATGACCGGAACCGCAAAAGTGGCTAGTTGACCCGGTTGTAATGGCTTTCTAAGCGGCTTACATCATTAATTCGTGCCTATAAGAGTAGAGTATTTCAGCTGCTCTGCATGCCAACTATTTCGATACTATTGTGTCACAAAATTTTTTTTTCGCCTTTATTAAGCCTCATATTGTATCACTTCGAGATATTTCGGGATCTATATAATAGAAAAACTAAATCCAGTGGGCAGAAATTATGGTATTTATTTGTTTAACCTGACGAAGATTTAGATGATTAGTTGGCATTAAGGGACGACACGTTGACAACACGTCTATGCCTCCGAAATGACAATGATCGATCACTACCATTGCTAATTGGATGCTTCATTACTTCTGAGGATGACAACTAGAAATAGTTTGTGTTTTGTGATGCAATTAAGCTAGGTAAACTAGATAATTTCCTTGAAATATAACTCAGTAGTGAAAAAGATTTTTGTTAGAAAAAGCTCGAGTTTTCAATACATTTTGTTTGGAAAGTGAAAATGTGATTCTGAACCGTATATATCGGTATTGAATCGATAGCGCAACTTGTAAAGGAACAATTCGTTAAAAACTTTAATTTTAACTCGCCAAGGTGTTTTATGATTGGAATAATGTGATACGTAATTCACTGGAGCATGATTTGCGATAGAACCGTATTTGTTTGATTTCAATGGAAATTGATATTAGAAGAAATATTGGATGTGCTGTGGAAGAAATGAAGGAACATTGAGGTGCAATGAAATGATTGTCATTTCTTTCAAATGTCTTTTTGTAGATAATGGCTGGGATAAAATTAGTATAAAATGTCATGAGGAAGGGAATGGGGCTTAATCGGTGCTAAACAAATAAAGCTCATCGGAGAAGATCGCCTCAAGGAAAAGAGAGGTGCTAAGGATGATACATACAAATACGACAAGCGGAAGGGTTGCACTAGAAAGTAACGGATCAGATTTGAAGAGGGAAGACAATATCCGGATAACTAATACAAATACCGTAAGCAATAGCAAGCAATTGTGGATACTTCATGATTGTGTGTTCGCACCTTCACCACTCCTTCCCTCTTCTCTACATACTTCATAGACAGAAAAACAATTTCGTTATGAATTCTTATTGGAATTGCTTTCGAAAAAAATGAGGAATTTTGAGATGGGCAGAAACAGAAACCCTGCCCGTCAGTTTCGTTGTTCATTAATACTTCTTTGGAAAGTTTTTGATTATGTAAGAAAATTTAAATTTATTAATTTAAGTGCTTTCAAATGCATATAAACAAAATGATGAAATCACTCAGTACAATAAATCAAAACATTTTGCTGATTTGACTGATTTGACTTCCTGAGGTCTAGCATACTCTAACTACTTCAAAGGGATGTGTCCACGTAAAAAATATTGCGTGAGAATCTCTAGCAGTAGATACGGAGAAAGGGAACAATGGCCAAGATACTCTGCGTTCCAGGAAACTTAATAAATGCCATGCCTTATATATTCGTTCGTTCTTGGTTTACATTAATTAAAGCAATTTATCCTTTTCCATTTCCGAAACTCTTAATGTTTCTCTTCGGTGCTAAATATGCTAGAGGTGAGTTGGAAAAGATTTGATACCCTTTCATTGAACATTACTTATGTAAACACTAATATTTAAAATTAAATGTAGTAAAATATGGAGTGAAGCGTAGACGGATAAGGTCACATAAACGTTGATAATACAAATTTCAAGACTTATTTGGAAATCACTTTTCTTGAGTAAAGAGAGTTCTTCCTAAAATTTAACTTGAGTTGACCTCATATAATAAGCAGTCTAATTAATTAAACCCAAAATTACAGTTCTAACTTTAATTCTTTAAGATATTTATTCAAAATCAGCAAATGGACTTGACGAGAAAGAAAACTGACAGATTGCTGCAAACATAGGAGAAGAGAACCTAGCTCATAAAACTTACTTCTTTTTTGAGAACTTAGAAATGTTTAAATATTGGAAATGAAAGTAATAAAATAAAAGAAATTCGATTTTCCAAATCGAGAGGTTACTGATTTTACTACAGTTAATTAATGAAATTTCAGGAAGAAATAATTTCTTCAAATTAAGATGAATCTTTTACGATAAAGTTGCGAAAAGCGATTCTTTTGATTCTCTTGTGATCAGTGAAGCCCTTAAGCTTTCTTGAGTAAATACAATAGTAACGGAAAAGCTCTTTGTCACATTATGTTTGTCAAAGTGACAATTTTGCAGCTGCAACAATATGTCGTTTACCGCAAACGAGCAGCTGCAGGACGATCCAGGAAGCCACCCTCTTCGAAAAAATTGCAGCAATATTAATAGATTCTCTCTATCCTGTTTTCAGTGTTCTTCTTCCACGCTTCTTTTTCCAGCATCTCTCTTTTAAATCAAATCATTGATAACAACCCCAATGTCGAAAATATTCTTTATAAATTCTTTATTGTATATATGACTTAATGTAGGCATGATTTGAGTCTTTTTGCTTCGGTCAAAAATTTAAGAACTAATCTTTATTAGAGAAGATGAAGAATTCTCCTGAAGTTATAAGATAAATTATATTTAAGTGGCGGTTTACTTGAGGGTCGTTTATCATGCAATATCAAACGGGCTTATGTCTTTCTCTCTCGCTTCTGGTAATTTAAAATGATCGATCAACACTGTTAACTTCCTCTTCAAATTATAATAACACAAAATTTTCATCTTAGTAGTTTACACAAGGATAAAATCAATGATGATAAAATTTGAATAGTACGCTTATTGTTTGAAAGAGGAACTCTAGTCGCATTACAGAATATATTTAAACATCACTTTTTGCGATGTCGCTTTGATAAAGGATTCTCTGATTTTAGAATGAACTTTAAAAATTACTGTTGTCAATCTTTTCTTTTTTGAAACAAATATTCTTCACAAAAGAAGTACTGGTCGCAGAAAAACTACAAATATGAATGACCGGAATGCAACGAAATTATTAAATTATTTTTCATAGAATAATAAAAAAACAAGTCAAGTATTATCAAAATATTCTCTCTAGTTTTAAATGAAACTAGAATAATAATTCTTATATTGATCAGGTTGTTCATTCAACTAAGTAATTGCAATATAATCTTGGACTGTTCTCTTAGAAAGAAAGGTCTAAAATTTATTTATATGAAAAAAAGTTTTTCTATTTAAGAAGTAAGTATGAGTCTTCACAATTGTATTATGCCTTGATATATAAATGAATAAACAAACTGATTACAATAACATTTCAATTAATTTTAATTAGTACGTTTTAAATTCAGTGCACTTACACTATGTAATCCTCTTTACAGTATAATTGCCCGCTACGTGAATAACATGTTGAACCGCTAAGCGGAATCTGGCAGGTACGACAGATCAAACAGTTCTCATGCCAGCAATTGTCATCTACCTGAAGGCTGCCATTATGAGGACCAGAAAATATACAAATGAATCAAGTCGCTTGAAAATATATGACTAATTGAAATGATAGAATCAAACTTCTACGACTAACCTTTACCATATACTTCTCTTTAATCTCGAAACCACAACCGTTACAAAGAATCTTACCAGAAAGTATACGTGGTACTGCCATCTCATCACAATTCTCTGTAAATAATTACTGCTACCATTCGTCGAGCATATTTTATTTGAATGACTTTATTTGAAATGAAAAGACGGTTGTACTATAGGAAATTAAAAAAAGAAGTTATTAATGAGCCCGCGACATATGGATTTCGAAGAAATTCAACAGTCTTTACGAATTCCTAGAAATAATACAAATAAGTAATTTACCGTTATTTGACGGATTGAATGCTTGAACTTTGGGTGAAGCTGTTGATGATTCGCCGTCTAAGTCTACTATGCTGCAAAATGGAAATAATCATCTTGATAAAGTTTCAAATAAAACTATCGATGACTCATTGCCTATTCCCGATACCCAATATTTAATAAAGCTAAATTATTGACTTTGGTTAGCATTAAATTGTAGTTTACACGAAGTTTAGGATCTGAAACTTCTGAAAAAGGATCTAAAAAACTGCAATTGAATATTAATAATTTGATTAATTTCTTGATTAATTTTCTATTGATTAATTTCTTATCAATGAAGATATCTTTAACGTTGTTTTTCACATACTTAGTGATGCTCATATACAACATTTGAATAATTGAATTATTGAAACAGAATTGAAATTAGAATCCTAATTCTCCTTTGACTGAATGATTACCAACTTAAGGTTTAATTTTAGAAAGTAACCTTTGCATATTCAAGAAGTGATTTTCTGTTGCTATGGGCATTTCTGGTGGTGATAATGATAATGATAACGGCGATTATGATGTTGATGATGACAAGTTAGATTAATGTTAATGCACAAGCATCGAGTATCGTGCTAGGAAACATATCAAGCTAATTTCTGTTTTCCTCTAAATTTATCCTGAATAAGCTCCGCTACCGTATCCGAATATATCGTCAATGTGCACCGCCCTATCCAATCTTTCTTTTTATTGGTTCTGTTGTTAGTCGAGGCCTCATTTCGACTATTTGTCCAACAGTCATGCTTCAAGCCTAGGAAATAAAACACTCGTGAAAAAAAAAAAGAATGTTTTATCAAAAATTATTGATCACACTGGCAAGTTTTGTCATTCTTTCTTGGTTGCTGCTATCAATGTATGACAAATGCTAAAATGTTTGGAAATGGACAATTTGTTTTGTTAAAGTTTTTAAACGGTACAATATTTGAAATGTTGCTGTACTGATGATAAGAAAATACTAACTGTATCCTGAGAATCGTTCCGTGAGAAAGAAAACGAAATAAGAGTTTCCGGTTACGCCTGCTTTTATTTTTCTTTTCACTTTTTCCGAAAACATTGATTAAAACAATCACTTTAGTACACGTAAGTTAAGACGTGACTGGCTAACAAGATATATTTTATTATATAGAGAGCAAATGAGATGTGTTGCATCATATGAACAGTTGTAGTTTTATTTCTTAGAGGGATAAGCACAGAGTTTTCCATATATGTCACGTCATTTTATAGATCAAGTTAACCAAACAGATTACATTAACCGGACGAAACATCACTTTAATTCAAGGCACCACTGCGTACTCTTGACCCCTGGGATATGCATTTGCCTCGTGGGTAAGCACTCGTGACATAAAGCACGGGTCTGAATTGATGGACTAAGGCTTTCATTGCTTTCATTTGCAAGATCCTTAGGTGTGCATTTGGCAGCTCTGATCCGTGGGATAGGGAAAGCTCATCTTGTTATTTCCATTTCATGCACTCATTGCCAATAATGGTATTCTTTAGTTAGCAGTGTCGGAAGTTGTGTAAAGTATTTATTATTCCTGAATTTGCATTAAATTTCACTGCAGTTCAGATTAGTTTATGAACGCTCCAGCACCGTTCGAGTCGTTCCTGGTATTTGATGGTGAGAAGAAGATAGCTATCGAGAAAGACACTAAAGTACCTAACGCTGCTATATTTACAGTGAACAAAGAAGATCATACGATCGGAAATCTCCTCAAACAGTCCGTTTCTCTTCGATAATTTTCTACAACTAAAAATTGAGTTAAGAATGAATCTGTAGAATGGAGATTTAGATTTATGAAATAAATCACCGAAATTGAGCCTGTTAGTTTGGCTCTCAAAATCTGGCAGTACCGTTTAAGTGACGAATTCTTCCAGTCGTGTAGCTCAGCACTTCAAATTTTAATAGACTAGAACTAAATTGTTTTGATTGACGAAATTCACATATGCAGTTAAGTCGAGAAGCAACAAGAAAAGACTGTAATAATCTAGTTATGTTATTATGAATAAGTAGAAACAGTTAGTTTTCTTCCCGAACTTTTTTAGATTTGCTGCAAAAATTTTTCATAAAAGTTATTTCGGTACGTTTTGTAGTCAACTGTTGAAAGATCCTCAAGTGTTATTCGCTGGTTATAAGTGTCCACATCCGTTGGAGCACAAATTTATCCTGAGAGTGCAAACAACATCGGATACTACTCCAGAGGACGCTCTTACTAGTGCCATCACTGATCTTATGGCTGAACTATCACTATTTGAAGAACGATTTAGAGTAAGTGGATTTGTGCTATATATTTACTGGATATTTTTAACTTCGTCTTTCGGGCATTGTCAAATTATATAGCTTTTGGCAAGCGTATTTTAGAATTTTTGTTTTTTAAAACAAATTTTAATTTTAAAGGCTGTGGTTAAGGTATTTTCTGATTTGATGAAAGAATTGAGTGGAAGCGATTTGTGACTGTTATGATATATAATTTATTGATTCTAAACTATTTTTAGTTTACTTAGTATTTTTTCAGGAAGCTATTAAGGAGCGCCGAGAAGCAAACGAATAATTAACATTACGAGTGTTCGGTTCAGTATTTTTTGTTTTAAAGTCTAAATTCTTACTCATTAGAAGTGATGTTTGTCAGCCATTTGACATCACTTCAGTCGCCATCATCTTCCTCATCATCGTTATTCTGCTCCACTATATTTCGTGTACGTCGAAAGCGAACTGCTGATCCACATGAAGCTTTGGTTATTTCATTAAAACGCCCAAAACAAATGTCAGATGTAACAGAACCTATCATTTGTTTTCGAGCTTCAACAACTAACTTAAAGGTATTTAATTGAATTCATGCCCGCTTACGTATATTTGAATAAATATGATGAGTCTTTTTTAAGAAGCCTACACGTTGCATATACCGTAACCATCAAAAAACTACTGAAACTACTTTGAAGAATCAACAGTTAAAATGATTATTCTGCTTCTTTATTTTGTGGAAAAGTAACTTGTTAGTGCTTCATTTTCAATATCATTAATATTCATTCTTCCCTATATATTTGGATTAGGTCGGATTCGAATGCTGTTAATGCGATATTCTGAAGTAATCGGATTAGAAAGTAGAGATCTGTTATTCCGATTTTCATGGATCATGCCTTACGTCTGTCACGTTCCTTTATTTAGTTTGTAATATAATCCGTAAATACTCGCTTTTTGTTCATTGATACAGCAACTATTTGTAAATTTTAGCCAGAGTTGTTAATGTTAAAGTAATGTGTTTTAGCTGGGGTTCGGTGGTGTTACTCATTCGCAGCATTTTAACATAATCGATGTGGATCCACATCAGAACACTGTGAACACAGTAGGACTACCACCATCCAACACTGATGAAGAAACAGAAGACAGTAAGAGTGACGTTTCATCTAGCAGCCCTCTGGAACTAATGAAAGATTCTGTAGAAGAACCATCGTCTAGCAGCAAGATAAACGGTGAAACGACTATCAAGTCGAGTCAGATAACGTTAAATGGAGAGCCGTTGCTAGTGCTAAGCGGTCAGGATGATGAAGTTAGTTCTGTAAAAGAAATTCAAGACTCTTGACATTAATAGCATGCTTCAGAAGAGTTTTTATGAGTGTTCTTGAATTCAGAACAAATACATGACATGAAGAGGAATTTAATACAAGTCGTTGATAATGAATGCAGTCTTCTGATATAATCCTTTTTTTATTTTGTAGGATCATTTATTAATTTCTTCATGTTTTTTTGTAATAAAATCAGCACTTGTGATATTGCTGAAATATTAAAACTCAGGTAACACTATTTACAGGACTTCATTTTTGATTATTATTGGAGCTCCAAGACGGATGGGTGTACGGCTTATCAAATCCGAGATGTAGTATTTTGAAATATTGGCTTTTATTTATTTATTTTATTGATTGCTTGTCACATTTAATCCATAACTGAAACTGAAAAGGATCGGATTTTTCTTTAAAATCTTATAAAACTTATAGGTTCGCTTAGCAAAAGCTGATGATTTACTATGTGATGGTGAAGACACAGAAAGCAGTGCAGGGGATGACGATGAGGATTCGAATGATGAAAACAACTGGCGTAACGATTACCCTGATGAATCCGAGGCAAGTTTCATGAGTAAATTTTGCGTGATAAAAAATGATTCAGTAAAGGTAATTTTGTTGGCCAGAGCAAAAAATATCTTATGTCTTCTTTAATTTATGATTATTTTAGCCCTTCCGTAAGCTTGTTTTATTAAACTTTAGTTTGTCTACTACTATTTAGCGTTTAAAGTCGTCTGTAAAGCAGATAATGTTTTTGGGATATTTGAAGTAGTATTCTGAAGCAGCCTTCTAAAACTTGCGCACTATTGACTTGACATGAGGATTTTTTTACATTATTTTAACAGTATGGCATCTTGACATTTCAGCATACTACTTCTGGTTGTGGTTCAGACGAAGACACAGCATCAGATGGATTTAATGATTGTGAAGATCTAGAAAGACATATTGGTGAAATGGGTTTCGATGATGGAGAGGATAGTGAAGGTGATGGAGATAATTGATGAAGCAGTATTGCATAATTTTTTGTATTTTGTGTGTGTCATTTACTGGACTTTGGTTCGGTTTGAAATTTGTTAAATCTCATTTCATATATGATAGACATGGTGCTTTAAAACTACAGCTAAAAGTACATGAAATCCCCTTGCTAATTTTTGGGACCGATTTGTTTTTAAAGTTGCTTTTTATTCTGTCAAGTTTAGGGAATAGAAGTTTTTATTTCTGTCAAGTTTAGGGAATAGAGGTAGGGAATAGAAGTACGAATTGTCTTCAGAGCGTACCTTCGGAAATTTAAGTATTTCCTTGAAAAAAGCACTATTTACTTGTCTATTCTTTCGTTTCTTCATTTTTATTGTAAATTTGATTTCTCTTTGATTTTCTCGCTTAGGAAGAGTTTTCTATTCTAATTTTGCATATTCTGACGTCTTGGTAATCAGGAAGGAGTGAATTCACATTAAAGTAAATCAAATGTATTTAATGGACCAATCAAATGAGTCTTGTTTCAAAAATGTGAAATCCTATGGAGTGATTTTAAAAAACGTTCACAATATTATTATTCTAACACATAAGAGTGGGAAGTCATATAATCATATGACTTTAGTTTGATTTGACTCAGTGAAAGAATGCACTGTGAGAATATGGGAATCTTGCTGTCGAAGATAATTCAAATTGGGATTAGAGACAATACTTTAGGAAACTGAGAATGGGAAATGATTCCATAGCCTTGAATTGGTAAGAATTTGTTGCAAAGCAGCGCTTATTTTAGAGAGGATTTCAAAAATATGAACCGTCCTCCAAACGTGACGATGGTCGTACCATATTTTCGACATTGTTAGACGTTGACCATAAATGATAGAGGACTTTTGATCACCTGTTTGCATCAGTATTAAGTTAAAAGAGGAAATCCATCAAATCAGGTCTTACACATCTCTTTATGAAGCGAAAGGAGAAGATAATATCTGACAGCTTGATATACAGACAGAAAGAGGCTGTTGAGGAACAGCAGTGTGAAGACGTTGCATAAAACACTGCTGAGATTATTTCGCCACACTTGCACTTTTCTATTGCGGTTACACCTGTTTCAATAAATTATGGTTTAAAGCTAGAAATACGGTTTTAAGATTAAGGATTTGGTCCATGATTTTAACATTAAGGATTTGAAATCCACGCTCTAAGTCGAAAATTATAAAAAGAACAATCAGGGGGGAAATTAGTGATCGCCTCGAAGGAATTTTTCTCTTATGCCACATGAAATTTAAAGTAAAGGTGCCACCAGTCAAACTCCTGATCGTTCAAAGAATAACGACAAGATTCATTTTCACTTGCTCGTGAAATATCAAACAACAATAATCTTGCATTTCTGTTATTTGTCACTGCTTAATTTAGTATCCAAAGGAAATGAAACGATCCGCGATCTCACATTCAATATATAATATTTTTTAAGGAAGCATATCCAATGAATTTTTTAGAAAAGCTGAGTATCAGCCTGATACATAATGTGCATGAAATGCTTAAATCCTCCAAACACTTCAGGAAGTTAAAAAACTTAAAAACAGTGATGCAATGGACAACAATTCATTCGTCACCGAAATATTTCATATGCTTAGGGGCATAAGTTAATGAAAAATTGAAGTAGAATAAGAAAATATGTATGCAGATCTGATGGCCAAATAAACGAAAAGTATAAATACAAATAAAGATCATGAAATGACCGAAGAAATTTCCTGATTCCGTTTATGACTAACCTGAACCTATAAACAAAGTAGGCAACACAAATATCGCTTAAAACCTTTATTGAGCAAATACTGTACAACATCCTTCTTGCGAAAAACTTACATCCAACATTCAAATGTCAGAATATTATGACTAAGAATACATAAAAAGAAATTTTATGTAAGAAAAAGGTCAGCGGTCGTGAAAAATCATTTGTATCGTCAACTTAAATTTAAAGATGTATTCCAAAGATTAGAAAGTATGATAAATGCCAACAATCAATAAATAAAAATCATACTACCTTGAATGCGCAACTATTTATTCAGTGAGTGATTCTTTTAAGCTTCATCCTTTTACTGCGTTTTAGGAGGATGTCGTCTAAATATCGTAGAATACACCAAATCATCTCTTTTCCCAGTAGGATTACCTAATTTAATGGCAAATATCAGAATACCGCACAGACCATTGTCATCTACCAAGTCAAAGCACTGAACAAAAGCAAGATGTATCACCAAGTTAAGGCAAAGTGGAGTCGCTGCCCGAAGTAGCAGCATCGGTCGCTTGCGCCATTCGGATTCGAGGTGACGGCGCACCAATACGCGATCGCACAGCAGTTTGTGATAAGGCTTTTTCTACTTCCTCACCTTCCTGCAACATATAAAAAAATATCTATCACCCATTAAACGAACACAAACTTAAGCATTTAAAAAATGTACACTAGCAGCCTGCTTCTTGATTTCCATTATCATCTCATCAACTTCCTCCAGTTTTAACACGATTTCGGTCGGTTGTCTTCGCAACATCTGGAAATAAAGCATGTCTTCATATACAGTAATCACTTATCAAATGCAATTCCTGCTCTCTTAGTGACATAAATCGAATATTCAAACTTTAAGAAGAACTATATATATATATTTATTTAAAAAGAAGCATAAACATAAATGAAATTCGAGAGATAACAGGAAGTGGCAGAGTTAATGGAAGAATGTATCAACATAGGAGAAGCACGAAAAGCTCCACACAAAGTAAAGAGTGATAAATGAGCCAAGAATGCTGTGGAGATGATATTGAGGGTTGAAAATGACACAGCACTAATGCGATCTAGCTCTATCACTGTCGCATCTCTGTGACAGTCATAGCAAAAGTCATCCTGGCTACAACCAACAACCCATAACTTCCAGCTACCCACACACTTCAGCTCAGAAACGTAATAAAGCCCGAACGGGTCGCGACTCCATTAGCCAGTGTAATGGTCTGCTTCCTTCGGGCAGCTGATTCTTGTGGGATGGGTTGGTGTGGATTGGAAGGAGCGTTCTTTTAGCTCCGTTATGTTCACTTGACATTCTATTCTATGAGGACAAATACTGGAAGGGTGAACTAGTGATTATTTACAGAATGACTGAGTTGTTCCGGTCAGCATTTAATTATTTGTCGCAGACGGCATCAGTAAACGTTATCGGTAAATTGGATCATCCCCTTGTGGGTACGAACGTTGAGATTGGCGGATTAAGGCTGAAAATTCGTTCTTTAATTGCTGAAGGTTCGTTACTTTACGTTGGATTTCAAACTTTGCTTATGGCAAGAGGCCGAATTCGGACTTTGGAGTGGTGGTAACATCTAAGGTTTCAGAAGACGAGCAGGCCAGAGAGACTGCGATTCGTAGGGTAAAAGTATTGCAAACCAGCGATAATCTTTCGAGCGGCGGAGATGTGTCCATGATTGGACCTTTTTATGAGAAACTGAATGTTTAACCTTGCCATATAGATCATATTGTCAATAACCGTTCGGCGTTGGTTATTAAAACAAAATTTTTCATATTTATTATTTTTTTTTTTTTGGCTTATTTATGCATTTAAATCTCATATTTATTTTAGGTGGTTATGCATTAGTATTTTCGGCCCAAGATGCACGAGGTAATTGGTTCGCTTTGAAGCGACAACTAGCTGCAGATGGTGAAGCTGTCAAAGCCATCTTAAAGGAAATCGGTTTTTTGCGAGAGGTAATGTTTTTATGACTCGGTCCCACAAATTACACCAGTTCAAGTTAATTACCTTTGGAACTAAACCGAGTCTGATTATTTCGCTCTATTATACATTATATCTTAGGGACTTTTTTCATTTAAACAGAAAGGTAAGGTTATTGGTGTCACAGATAAGCGTCAAGTAGGCACTATATAGGAAGTGTTGTAAATTTATGGAGCTCTCACATTCAATCAGTTGATGTATACTGCTGTCAATCTCTACTTTCACCTCGCTGAAATAGTAATTTCAGCTAACTAGTCTTCAATCAGTTTTGCATTTTGTGCAGGCGGCTCAACTAAGTCCACAGGAGAGCGGTCATGGTCGAGCTGAATTTCTTCTTTTGACTGAACTTTGTCCAGGTAATCTTTATTCACTTATTATTTCCTAGTTTTTTATTTTCCAAAATTGTGAAGCTCAATGTTTTATGTTGCATTTTTTCTACGGACAATCTGCATCTCCACAACTCTTCAGCCCTATGATCATAAGTATTTGCTCTCTAAATGATTCCAATTTTCCTGATATTAATCTAAGTCAAATGCAATGCCTTGTTCAAATGAAATAACTAACTCCATTTCAGGAAGCGTGATCGAGCTCATCCAAAAAGGTCCATTGTCAATTGGGCAGGTGCTGAAGATTTTTTATGCTGCTTGCAGTGCTATTAAACAAATGCATGCAAGAAAACCATCCATAACACATAGAGATATGAAGGTTTTTTTGCAGACATTTCTCTTATAGTGCATTTCAAGAATCGTTTTACATTTTGTTTTGATGTAGTTTTCAATAGATAAATAGTAAATAAATGGTAGTAGATAGTAGTTTTTAATAAATGAATAGTAATAAGGAAATAACAGGATTATATTTATCATTTTCAGAGTTTTGCTGTTAGGAATGGGATGGTTTGTTGTTTTTATTCACAAAAAAATATTGTTTGTATTTGCAAGAACGGTGTTTGTTCAGGATATTGTATGTTATAAGAAATATTAACTGTTCAGTTCAGATTGAAAATTTGCTTATTGATGCATATGGTTATGTGAAACTATGTGACTTCGGAAGTGCAACAACAGAAGTTGTAACACCAGATGAAACATGGTCTGCTTTACAACGAGCAAAGCTCGAAGAGGAGGTTGTATTTTCAAGTTTTTATTGAATTATTTATATGGTTTTTTGTAATGTGGTTTTATAAGTTTTTGTGGTTATATAATACTTATATGCTTTTTTCTAAAAAATAGCTAAAAAACTATTCCATATTGCTTTTAATTCGAGAGAGCTTTTAAATTTTCTTCAAATTTCGGAACATTTAGTTAGCTCGGCACACGACTCCAATGTACAGAGCACCAGAATCATTGGATATGTATTCGAATTTCCCAGTAGGTCCAGCTCAGGATGTTTGGGTAAGTGAACTTATTGTCTGTTATTTAATTGTAAGAGTTTTGATTCGTCAGTGAAGGCAGTCGTTGATTTGATTAACTGTCCAACATTTAAAAAGGAGATTTCTAAACAAGTGTCATGTGTGATTTTATAGAGTGTTCGGAAAAGGTGAGACTCATTCCTGGCAGTTGAATTTTATTTTATTTTAGGTCTCTAATCAATTGTATTTTAGGCTCTTGGATGTGTACTATATTATCTTTGCTACAGAAAACATCCATTTGAAGACAGTGCGAAACTTCGTATTATTAATGCAAAATATTCACTCCCTGATATAGAAACTGAATATGCCTTGTTGAATCCATTTATTCGTTGGTTTTATTTTTCATTAACTTTGAAACTTCGTGTTTTTAATGAAGGCATATGCATTTCTGGGTGTATAAGACAGAAATATATGAACTTCGAAATTTTCAATGCATCTATCTCAAATTACTTGCAATTATATTTAACCTAGTTTAGGCCTGAACACTCCGAAGTTGTTTTTCATTTTAAGATATTTTACTGGACTTAATACTTTGCTTGAAAAGCAAATTCAAACTTTCAACTCTTGCTTAAATTCAGGGAACTTAACTAACTTCCAGGTCATCATACGCTTTTGCAGCTAGACTTTCCGTTTCATATTGAATATTTTTGAATTGCACCACATATCGTTTCAAGATCGATTAAATGCTCATTTATATTACCTCACCTGTTTATTCTCTTGATTTTTTACCCCTGTTTTTAGAAGCAACACTGCGAGTAGATCCAAGAGAACGCCCAAATATGGAGGATTTATGTGAACGAGTTGAAGCGCTTGCCACAGCATTAAGTATAGATCTTTCGAAACCTGTTGAAAACCTGGAACTGCTTCAATTATCAACATGCTGTTCTTCAGGTATCAACTTTTTCGTCTTAGTAACAAATTACTTTCGTCCTCAAAAAACCAACCAGTAAACGTTAAATAAGAAAGAGGTAGCCAACTGACATCATCAGAATCTGTCCTTTATAAATGTTGTTGCTTTTAAAATCTCATACAAATTCATTAATAGTGTATTAGAAAATATATCGTAAAGTAATTTTGCATTTATTAAAATAAATTTAAGATTTGTGGGCGAATTAAAAGGGACCATTTAATATTTAAGCCTGTTGGACAAATCCATTCAAGTTATTAAACTGTTTGATGCTATAGTAAAATAATTTGTGGTGAAGAGTTTATACATTAAAGTTTATCTTTATACATAAATTTATTATGTTTCAATCTGTGACTTAATTTTTGCCTAACTTTCCAAAGTTCTTTCCCATTAATTTTCTCTTCACATTCTTCAGTTCATTTTTTAGGGTTTTTGACGATTTTTTTAGGATTCCATAAAAAATATAAACATTTTATTATTTATGTACTCGCAAGCTCTAGTTAATATATAAAATTTTATTAGTAAGACGAATCAAATTCTTATTTCTGAAATTGCGACTTGAATCACTTGTTTTCCAGGTCAGTCACAAATCGAACCATCTGTAAATGAACGTGGAAAATCATCGAAACCAAATATATCAAAGCGGTCACCTTCAACGCTGCGAAAAAATGATTACGTATGTTCTGTAAATATGCATAAGACTATAGAAATTTAAATTGGCATCACTTCTTTATTGTTCATTTCTGTAAAAATTGCTTTCTAGTATTTTAATTAGCTCAGTTACTTTTATTAATTGTTATTGTCAAATCATGTGAGGATTAATTGCTGAATTATTAGGAGCAGACAGCGCAGCAAGCTTCCGCTGTTCTTGGTGCCATTAAGGGACAGAGCATCTCTTGGTTCAAGAATATCAAAGACAAAACGGCCGCTGTTGCGCAAACAGTACAAGTATGTTTATCCGTCTTTTGTGCTTGTTTGAGGAATTTAACTAAAAGATCCTCAGAAATTACTTTGCGAGGAAGCTTCATTTTTATTTCGTTTTATTTAGTTTGGTTTGGAGCATAAATGGAGCCTCTTTTGAGCTTTTATTTTTGGAAGATGAAACCAAAACGTTTTCACGAATTTTAATAAAAGTTTATTTCCTTAATTTGAAAATTTCAGTCGACTTATGGTAATCGAGGACCAGATATAACCTTTGTTACATCTCGTTTAGTAATAGCGCCACTTGCTGACTGTATACCTGAAGCACTAATTGCACAGGCTGAAGAGACAATGCGGGCTCATATTATGGATCAAGCTCGAGGACAGTTCACAATTTATAATTTATCAAATCGGTGGGTTTTCTTTTTTGAAAGGATTGATTGGATAGAGAAAGATGGATCTGCATAATGATGAGATAAACTGTACTGCAGTTTTCATAATGACAGCATGTCTGCAGTCTAGAATTTTTGTGATCTTGACTTGAGCTTGTAACTGTTCTTGATGTTTATAAAACCTTTGGTGATCATTTTGCAGTTTATAGATCTACAAACTTAAGATTTCGGTGATGCTGTCATTATATAATATTTTTGATTACCTATGAATGAAAATTGTATTTTTCTCTATATAATTGGTATATTCTTAAATAATATTTTGCGGTTTGGAATTTAGGCATTTGCGGTGTGATTATGGTCATCTGGTAGAAACGCCTTTACCGGCTGTTGGAAGTGGTTTAACACCCACTGTGAACTTTTTGTTGAATCTCTGCAGGAATATGGTTTTATTTTTGAAGCAAAAGGAAACAAATTTTATTTTGGTTACTGGTCCTGAAGGTAAATATTTCTGATGAGTTCTAAATCGTTTTATTTTGCAACTTGTAGCATCTTACCTTTCGATATTTAGTATTTCTAAATGATCAGTGTATGAACAAAACAAGTTCGCGTGTATGCTTCTCACTTATAGTAATTGAAAATATTTTTTTTAGTTCAGTGTTTATTGGTAGCAGCGACTCTGTTATTATATGCTCGACTTGTTCCAAGGCCACTGTCAGCACTGGAGTTAATTTGTACCAAAAGACAACCACCAAATCTTCCGCCATCTTACCATCGTCAGCTTGATATAGTAAAAACAGTTGTTTCTATGAACTCATCTGATTTATTTGCAGTAAGTTTCTTTGAATTCTTGTATGCTTTTTATTCGAAATGAAGTTTAAATATTGCTTCAAAAACTTAATTTTTTCATTCCATTCTGTAGGGTTCTGAAATTCGCATGTTAGTTCGTCAGCGACTTTTTTCAATACCATTCTCCATGTTTCAGAAAATTCGGTGTTACAGACCAATAAAATAAATCTCGAAATATATTAGAAGCATTGCTTAATAATTTCTGTTTTTTTTTTTTTATTTTTCATTTTTTTGTCGAAAAATATTTATAGATAGTTCACAATAGGCGGGTAGTACTTCAGTCACTACTGATCTCACCTGTGCCACTGTTTAATCGAGTTCGAAGCGGTTGTCGACCATTTGCTGATGTCTATGCTGGTGGTACGAAAGTGTGGTCCACCTGCAAAAGCTATGAAGAATTAAAGTAATGGTTAAATGATTAAAGGAATTTCTGTTTGTCAGTGACACTGTGTTCGTTAAGCTCCGATTTTTTTTTTTTTTTTTTTTTTTTCTTTCCTCAGTTTTCCTCCATGTATACCATTTTTTCTAGACATTAATATCTGATGCTGGAGAAAAGAAAGTGTAAGAGTGTGAGAACTGTTGAATCATGTTTGTTCCTCATGAACTCACTTCGATATGACTCACTAGCGTCTTTATATGGACCATCTGTGATTGAAGTAAATAGTTCAACCTATAATTTTACCACTACATAGAATTAAAATGGTTGACACTGTGAGTACTAGGAGTTAGATGCCCATTGTGTAGTTCCATTAATCAAGTGAAATAGAATATGTCAAAATGATCTTGACAATGTGCGCTTTCCATCTTTATTCTCTGTTTTGGAAAATTTGTAGGACCCAGAACTGGGGAATTGATTGCTTTCCGCTTTTACTTTTTTTACTAACTTTTTTCTTTATTTTTTGTTATACATGAAAATTTTAAATGTTTGAATTTTACATCCCAATTTAATGATATATCAGCTATGTCATTCTCCTAAATACAGAATGCTAATCCCAACAATTACCAATGACTGAAAAGATAAATCAAGAGGTAAAAGGGTTTTCTATTTCCCTTTCCGGTTCACTTGGTTCCTAATTTGAATTTATTTTTCTAGGTCTTTCGAAGTTCCTGAATCGTTTTTAGTAGATCTTCCATTAGGAGATATTCCAGTTGGTGATGATGTGCAGGTGAGTTATCTTAGAGTATTTGTTAAGATTGGAATAATTTCTAACAGCTTCATTTTAGTTCTTTATGTGAGTGAGAAAGTGTAAATTAGTTTTTAAGAAAACAGATTTCAAGAACATGGAAAATTTTTTGACAAAATTTTAATTTATCTACGGATTAATCTGCGGAAGAAATCCTGTATTTTCTATTTGTTCTCAAAACCAGCTGTTAATATCAAACAAAAACGAACTTCCAAATTTGTGGTTAATTTTAAATTTTTTTATCAATATTAATTTCTAGGTAATTGTTTATCATGCACGATTGACAAAGATGCAAAATCGAATGCAGCAGCATTTGATGTTTTCATTGAGCTTTCATGCTAATTTTATTGACCCAAATACTCACATGTTGGAATTTAATCTTGGTGATCTTGATCGTCAGTCTGACGATTCGAGATTTGGAGTGTCGTTGAGGTAAGTAAATCTTGCTTCGTTTTGAGAGCTTTTTTTAATTTATCCATCTCTAGCATAATTCTTCTTTGGCTTGTTCATATCTATTATCTTTTGCAAAGCAGAGAAAAGGACGCTAGTTTTAGGTGCACTTTTGATTCACTCTTCTTTCCTTAAAATACCATACTATTTTATGCAGTATCTTGAATATTAAGGAGCAGATTTTGTCGAGAAAATTTTATTGATGTTTGGTACAAATGAATATTTGTGATGAAAGTTTTATTGATTGGTTTTATTAGCTAGTCATTAGAAAATATTGCAGTTGGAGTAGATGGCTAAATTGTTCTTCATTGTTCTCGGAGCCAAGATTTGATAGGAATTTGATTGTTGCTATCGCTTAGTGGGGATTGATAGGGTATAGATTGTAGCGCTGAGTTGAACCGAATCCAAAGACGCTGTTATAATAGTGATCCTTGTCGATGATCCTAACTCTTTATAGTAGTGGGCTTGGTTTACAAAAAGAATGATGTAAATATGGATGAAAATTTTTACATTTTTAAGAAGAAAAATGACAGATATATGAAGATAGAGCTGGTTAGAACAGTCACTAAATATAAGCTTTGTTATCAGATCTACTATTGATTTACGGTATTTTAACCGTTGAATATATGCTTGTTTATAGGAAATAATGAGGCGATTTGCATAAATGATTCATTATAATGAACATCAAAACATTTATTTTATATTCATTTTATGAATTATTTGACTTAGAAATATTTTAAATGAAACAGTTTTCACAGTACAATTTCTATGCTATAAATTTAATTATTACGAGGTATTTCAGCACACAAAATATTTTGATTAGTTAAACATATTATGAAATTATTTTGTTTTTTCCAATAGATTTCTTTTCTCTCTTAACTCAGTTGTATTGCTATGAAACCTGAATTTATTGATTTAATATAGGTAAATAATAAATAGAACCCATGAGGAAAGGCGCTTGCACCTATTCTAATTGCCTGTGGAAGAGTTTATAAACCGAAAGACTGAAAGTTCCTGAAATACTGCAGAGATCGAGTCATCACGTTTTCAGTTTTACAACTCATCTTATTTAGCAAATACAAGAAGGAAAACTATGCATGCAGTGAGTGTAAGATAGCATAAAGTGAAGAAACTGAACTTTTTCTGAACAGCATTTTTTTTATGGATACTATCTTTGGTATAGTTACTTATATGCAATTTGTGTGGAGAGTCGGTTTTATTAATTTATGGTTTTATTTTTTCTGTAGTGTATCTGAATAAATATTGATAGGATTTAAGATTCTGATTTGATTACAACTCTTTCGAAAAATACAATTCTATAATTCTTTCTTGCAAGAACTATTTACTGACATATGTGAATGAAAGGCTCAGAGGAAGTAAAGGAGATGTGAATAATTTTTCTGGGAAAATTACATTTTACTATTACTGTCTTCATGACTAGAACTATTTTGTTCAGCGAAATTTTGTAAATAAAGCTGGAAATTTTTTCTTCTTACGACAATAGGAAACGGGACTTTGAAGTTGAGAGAAATTACTCAGAAGGAACAATAAATTTTTGCAATTTAAGGGTTGGTTTGCAGTTGAAAATTGATGAACTTGACAGAGGATTTAATGTGCGAGATCCACCAGCAATTCTTAGTTATGAACCAAAACCGATCTCAAAAATGCTGCTGGTATCCGGACCTGACGAATTTGGTGTGTTTTCATCTATTTTAAATTTTATATCTCCGGTTTATTTATTTATCTAACTATTTTTCCGCAGATCTTATTTCTTGTACTTCTTGTTTTCAGATGCAATTGTACGGCATCTTGGTCTTTGCAATCATAAGTTAAATCAACAAAATCTTCCGAAAAAACCACTTCCTCCACAGAAATACGTCGTGGAACAACATAAATCAACAAAGGAAGAAGCAGTGGAATTGACCAGCCAAACTACTCGATCTTATCCTCAGGACTCATTCTTTTCCACTTTAGAATGGTTGGATAGCACTGACAACCCACAACATGCTTCTCAGAATATCATGGAAACTGTTCTAAATAACTCACAACAGTGTGATATCAGACAGTCATCGGAACACTCTACTCATTTAAATCCATCGGTATGTGTTTGCTTGTATAATTTACAAAACCAAAGCACATCGTGATATGTTTTCCGTTTTTATCGTGATATGTTTTCCGTTTTTTCCAAAATAAATTTTCCAAAACCAAATCTTACGGTATGTATTCATTCTAGTTTGTCATTACAAACCTCTCACTATCACATCATCTTAGCTTTTTCATTGGCTAGATTCTCTTTTTGATGTGTAATTACATGTTAGCAAAGTAAATACAATAGTAAGCATACGGGAATCAATCTTATTTGAAATTTGTTTTTTTTTTTTTTTACTCATCCACTGAGTCCTGGCTTATTACCATATTACTGAAGAAAACTACGAATATACGATGGTTAATAAAGTATGTCATGTTTGCCTAAGAAATCATTTATTCTAAGTTGCTTCAAGTGTCTTAAGTTAGTGTAACTTCACTATAAAATCTGTGTTTCCAATCTGCTTGAAAATTGGAGGCCCTGAAAAAACCATTGTATATACAGCAATTAATTGGCACATAAAGAAATCAAAATCTGCCTGCCTTTTTTCTGAAAAAAAAAAGTGAAGAATTGTTTAATTTTTGTTTTTTGCCTTTTTTGCAGCATTTTTTTTTCTTTTTTTTTTGTGTTGTTGTAGGCAGCTGCTGAATCCGATTTCATCCAGATGAATAAATGGTGTAATGACATTATATCTAGCTTAGGTTAGAAATGAATATGTTGGCATATTCTCTACTTCTGGTGAGCTGCGAGTTGTAAATATTTTCTGTTTGCTTTCACTGATTTCATTTATTTTTCACTCAACATTTCACCGAAAATATGGAACTGTGATTTTACTCAATAACATTTAAAGTTCTGAGCTGGAGGAGATCATTGCTGATTTTAGGTTATGAAGATAAAGATTAGAAAATGGAGAAGAATGCTTGTAACTTTTTTTAAAAGGGAAGATTGAGAGTTTGTTGTTTTTCGGATATCAGTAGCACTGGTGTTAGTTTTAAACTTCCAACTTTTCTAACAAAGCTTTAAAAAAATGTTAACCATGAAAAGAATGCTGAACATGAACTGGAACTAAGGAAGCTGGAGAATCAGCGAAAGAAGCGTAGTTGCTTTCCTAAAGCTGTTATGTTTTTCTAAGAAAAAGTGCCTTGGAAATCCAATTGCTATTTTTCCGAGCTTTTATTAAGATTGTTGCTTGGATGTGAATTTATTATTAATTGGAATATGCGACATATGTGCATCTGAACTCATATATGTTATATATAATTTTGTATGCAATGTTTAATAGATGTAGTTTAAGGGCTGTTTTCGCATTAATTGTCACTCAGTATTTCCAATCGCAATTCCTAACAGCTGCTTAGAAACTTCTGATTCTTTAACAAGAAATTTTTATTTATTTTAGTTAATACAACGAGCAGAAGATGCCGATGTCCCGGGACGTATGTGTGGTCTGCATATTAATACTGCTGAAGAGGAAATTGGTGATGATCAATATAAATTCGGTTGTGAAGGACAACCGGAATCTGTTGAGAAATCAAAGATTTTAACTGCTGAAAAAGATGCCGATTTGCTTGGATTAGAGATTGGTATTTTTCTAAAATTTTTGGTTATTCCTGACAATCGATAAATTTGTTTTGGTTTTGAGTAAAATCAGCCAACTAATAGTTATGGCTTCAATATTAGAGATGGAAATTGATCCATTTTCTGGATTTCTTTTATGCCTGAAAGGTAATATCCACCACTGAAAAGCTTGTTATCAAATTGGATTTAAATCTGTTTTTACTTGAAACGTCTCCAGAATATGAGTTAAACAGTAGTTCAAATAAAGTCGACTTATTTCGTATCCTCAGAAAGTATTCAAAAGATAGTATTCAGTAATTTTCATATGTTTGCAGTTAATGAGCATTTTTCTGTATTGGTCACATATCTCATTTCGTTAATGTTATACAAATTAAATACTGTTATTGACAGTTTTTAGATTCTCATGTTTCGTGTTCGTCTAATCGTGCGCAATTAGTGAATGATGTTAATGGTGATACTTTACTGTTAACAAATATTTCCGGACATGATGCAGCAAATATATCTTTAAACATACCTGACAATGCTTCATCTAACTCTAACGTTCACTTCGGAGGTTCACATATTTTTGTTATTTTTTGAACATTATTTTTTTTCTTGTTTATTTTTTATTCCAAGTTATATAGTTTTTCAAAACTTCTTATTTTTAGTTTCAAAAATACTTTTGTTACGTTGCTAATGAAGGTCAATGTTTTTCGTTTCACTTTTTTAGCAAAATTTTGTTTTCAAAAAAAAAAAAAACCGGCTTATTTTAGACAACGATTTCTATAAGCACGGAATGCAACGTAATAATGCTTGTGCACCAATTTTTTCCACTGTAGATGTTATGGCTTCGACATCGGAAATGAACACTGATCCATTTTCTGAATTTTTAGTATGCACAAAGAATACAATTCCGTCACTGAAAAGTTTGTTATTAAATTAGCTGTGAATCTCTTTTTACTTGAACATTTTGATAATATGAGCTAAGCAATAGTATAGATAGAATCAGTTTATTTCGTATTACTTATCTCAAATCTTATTCGAACTGCGTGGTAAAATTTCAAAAGTTTTGACTTTTTAGATAGCTCAGTAGAAGCAAGTAAATCTGCGATGAGTAATCAGCAACAACCCAGTTACAGTCGAGCATATTTTGACACACTCAATTCCGTTGGAGGTAATACCTAAACTTATTTGTCATTCAGATTCCTTTTTAATTCTCTTTTTGGCTGGTCATATTTTTTAATATTTCTTATGCATGCATGCAGCACTTGAAGAAAAAAGTTTGAATTTCTAAAACAAAGAATTTGAGTAAATTCAAAAAATTCATGGCTCATTAAAATGTCCAAATTCAACCACTAAATTTTCAAGGTTAGTGGAGAATGCGTTCCTCAATCTTAATATTAACAATCTGGTAATATTTTTCAGGTGGCAAGCCAAAAAATTTTGAGAACGCGTTTGATGATCTTCTCACTTCTCAGGGTTTTCAAACGTCTTCAAAAACTATAAAATCTTTAGATGAAATGAAGCGACAAGAAGAAATTAGGGAGCTGGATCCTATTGAAGTTAAGGTATGCTTTAATAAAGAAATGTTGCTCAACTAATTCTTTTGATAATTAAGTATTTCTACATGTTTTGAAGTTTTTCTTTCAGGTGAAAGAATGGACGAACGGAAAAGAAAGAAACATCAGAGCATTGCTGGGGTCTATGAACAATATCTTATGGCCGAACGCTGAGAATTGGGTTCAACCAAGTATTGGCGATTTGCTAACTGCTCAACAAGTAAATTGGTTCCCAAAAAAAGAATGAAGGATAGGGATTTGTATAGGATGTAAAGAAAAATACATGCGTTCTAGATTTGTTAAATAATTGCAAAAAACTTTTGATGAGGCAAAAAATCTTTGAATTACAATTTCCGGATTTGATTACAATATTTCGGAAATAGTTTATGTAGTTAGTCAACGAGTTTTGTATAAATTTAAAGAAGCTCCAGGCATGAGTTAAGCAAAAGCAAAGTTAAACAAAGTTTAATCAGTGTCATTAGAAAATGATGAAAAAGTTTTAAGATCAGCTTTGTTTTTACTTATTTTTTCTTTATAGATAAAAAAGTATTACCATAAAGCGTGTTTGGTAATACATCCGGACAAGCAGGTTGGCACTGAGAACGAGACGTTAGCGCGTGCCATATTTACGGAATTGAATGATGCATGGACAGCTTACGAAAATGCTGGCTCACAATCCATTTGATTTCATATTTAGGACTGGTTATAAGAATTTAATATTTCTCACTCGTTTGGTTGACGTATCTCTTTTTTGAGCTAGTCCTTGTAGTTTTTCAGTTTGTCCATTTTCGCTTTTAGCATGCAGAATTTTGTTACCAAATTTGAACATTCTAACAAACTATGGAATGTGAGTGAGTATAAGGTATAGAATGTGATAGTTCACTAAGAACATCCCACTTTATCGAGACGGAGCTATGTGAGCTATCTTTGTGTTTTGTTGGATTCAGTTCTAGTATCATGCTTCTAGTGTACTTCCTTCATATGAATTAAGGTAGGCTAATGTGTTGTGCAGTTGACTTCGCGGAATTTTTGAAAAATATATTTCTTATTGAAATTCACCGTGAGATGTTAAACCTATGAGTGTGTGGCATTTTACTTTAATATACGATAAGTGGAATGTTTTTCTGTAACAACGGCTCTCTATTACAGTCATGGTTTTAAGCTTTCGTCTTTCACTTGCAGTTATATTCTATCCAGAAATTTTGCAGTGTCCATTTTTTTTTTTCAAATCTTAAGTGAAAATATGTTCAGTTGTGGAGTGTAATTAACTGGTCATTTTCTTATTGCAAACAAATACTGTTCATGGGCAATTTGCATATCTCTCTTGTTCTTTAGAGCCATTCGACACAATGAAGCCTATTTTTCTAAACAGTAACTGCTGATAGTATTTATGATTAGAGATTACTTGAAGCCAGGAAATAGTGCCTAGTTTGACTGCGAAATGTTGTAGTTTTTAAAAGTTCCCAGTACGAAAATTCACTACGGGAATAAGAGTCCCATTCCGGTGTAAATTTACAGTGCCACAATTTTTCAGTAAATTTCACTTCCTTTTGTATTTTCTACTTATTCATTTCCATAGTTTGCATATGTTTTTATTTCAGAAATTTACATGTGTAATTAAATAACTGCTGTCCATTTTTCTCGAACAGTAGTAATTACTGTATTGTCTGAATTTTTGTGATATGAATTGGAATGATCTTTTGAAACAGACAAAAACTCTCTTAATTTTTAACCGAAGCAAACAAATACCTTATTCAGCAACGAATCAAAATTTGGAAAACGGATTTCTACAAAATTTCATTAAAAGTAAATCGGTAATATGAAGCTACGTAAATCACCAAAAAGAGCTTAGTAGAGATAACTAATTGGGGATATTTCGACCACTATGTGAAGGCTTCTGTGGCATCACTTATACTTCAGCTGTAGGGAAAGTCGGTGAGCTTACGCTTACGTCGGAAGGGCATGTTGTGTTCTTGGATTCCTCATAAATTCCGTTGGTAAATTGGTTGTCGAATTATCTCCTAACACGTGGGATTACCTCGCATTGAAGTTATTAAATGACTTCAATACCGGTCCTTGCTTTTTCATTGGGACTGTTACAGTAGTCGCATAACTTGCGGTGAAATAACTTTAGCACGTGGTTTGCCGTGGTCTTCACGTTGTTGGTTTAAGAAGGCTGCAGTGGCTCGTAATTGTGTTCAAGTTTAGTGGTGCTGGGTGATTCGTACAGGTGCCATAGAGTGGCATGTTGTCGTGATGTCAGCGGGTCGATACATCCGTAAACGTCCAATGGCCCAGTCGATTTCCGAAGACGAAACAGTAGAGAATGCGAGCCGAAATGCTAATGATCCGCTTGAACATTGCTCGTCATCTTCCTTGTTATCTGAGTCGTCCACGTTCTCGACCTCAACTTGTGAACACTTGCCCTCCGTCCCCCTCAAAAGTCTCTATGATTGGTACGTTTATCATCCTCTCTTTTTGCTTCTACTTTTCTACTTTTATTTAGCTAAGGAAAAAATCAGTTCCCTTCAGCCTAATTTTCCAGCAACATGAACTATTTTTCTGTTGGAGTGAAAGTCGCGAAGCTTCCTCTACACTAAAGACATTTGTTCCTCGCTTGTTCGCATGCTTCCGGTTAAATCCATACAACAACTAATATTTGCTGTACCTTCATTTCGCTAGTAAACTAAAGGTTTTTGAAACCACCACTTATCTTTTGTACAGTGTGCATACGTGAGGTATTATGTACGGCATTTCTATTTCAGTCCGATTTGTTTCCAACTTTTCCGCGAACCGTATTCAACATTATGTGGTCATTCATTCTGGTATATTTCATTGATTTCCGTATGGCGGTACTTCCGAGATCCAGCGCGATAATAATCTGTACTAGAATATAGGGAAGGGAAGCTTTCGGCAAAGATATTGAACTCTATAATGATTTTATTTCCTTTAAGTGAAACAGCGTAATTGTTATTTTTCTTTACAAAATTCTGATAGGAGCGCTTCATTTGTAAGCAGTATCTATTTAATGTTTTTCGGTAAGAATTAGATGGCGCATTTGTTACAGCCGCGAATGTATCAGTGCACATCTGGAGCGTTCTTTACGATGTCCTGTGTGTAGTCGAGGTTTGGATCCAAGATCGGGTCCCATTGTTTTTCCTAATTTTACGGCAGCTAGCATTGTAGATGCAATTCGACGCAACATAAAGACGGCGCGCAGTCTTGCAGCCGTCAGTGTAAGTTTTCTGTGAGCATTTATTTTTTCACTTGCAAATAATATGTTTGATTCAGACTGTTTGGATTTTTTGTTTATGTTTATCGCTTCTGTCTTTATCGTACTTCACATTTTTTTCGTTGTGCAGGGTAGAAATGAGGGCTTGGAGTTAACAAGCGAAAAACTGGTTGATTTGGCTTTGAATGCAGATGCTAATTTTCTGGATCATTTTATGGATCTTTTGAAAAAGCGACGTGAACAGATTAGTAATAATGTCACTCGGAGAAAAAACATGCTCCTGAACGAGTTTATTGATGAAATGATTGCACAACGAGAAGAGAAGCTTAAGCAGCTTCAGAATGAGCTATCCATTTTACGGAATGATAAAGCTTCCATTCAGGTGACAGCATCAGTTCTAATATAATTTATATTAGAACAGAAAAATCATGTTAAGTGTTTTTTTCTTTGTTCCTGAGTTAATTCATTCTCCATGATGGAATTTATTTGGTGTACAGCCCTCTGCCTAAAGGATATAATTCTTGATGTTGTAATTACTATAGTAACTTTAATGTTATATTTGAGGCCATTTCCAGTGACAAAACATAGGGGAATTAAAAGAATTAGCTATCTTGAGCTACTTTTGGGAGAAAATGTTTGGCTTATCTCTCTGAAGCAATTCGGGAGTTTAGTTACGCTTTTTATTTGTACTGATTTACCGGAATTATTAGATCAATTTTTCTATAAAACCTCGTGCACCAGTACTATTTTTATGTAATTTATTGTTACTGATACATATTTGACCTTTATCTTAATGTTTCACTCTGTCATTTCCTTGCATGGTTTTCCTGTAAATCTCTTTAATGCAACTCATTGTTTTATCTATGAAAAATGCTGTGCCTGACAAAACTCAGAAACAAGTTTTTTGAGCTGTACGTCCATCACATAGTGCAGTAGATATTGATAGGTTGGGTTTTCATATTAAAATTTGATACCTGTCCTCTGTGTCATCATCAGATTACTGCCTTTATCCAGATCTTAAGGAAAAATATTTTGAATGTTGAGGGTGAGATCCTAGCTGCGGGTGAATGGTTTTAAGCACAGTTTTGGTCTCTTAAATAAACTTTCAATTCCTGTAGTTTGTTTTGTCCATCATTTAGCAAATTTTGTCCATCATTTAGCAAATAATCTATCGTTTTTTATTTTCCATCTTGTTAGCCACTAATCACTGTCTAATAATCATGTTTGGCACTTTTATTATTATTGTTAGCTTTCTTGAACTGAAAAAGTGCTTAAAAGGCATCATTTGGGTAGTGCAATCCTATATTTCCGAACTAAGTCATCTAGTTTGACCTGTACTAATGTTTTTGAATTAGAATAAAATAACTGTTTAGCAATTCAATATTGGGTTTTCTATATATATATATATATATATATATATATATATATATATATATATATATATATATATATATATATATATATATATATGCTCCAATTATTGTTTATTATGTAGGCGATGATGAAAGACGATTCGAGCAATAACGCTGGCACACATTCACAACGAATGGTGCCAGATGCCAGTGGTTCACAAATAATGCAGTCTGCATCAGTTCTGAAAAAAATGAGGTTTGATGGTGGTGATAATGATACTGAGGAAATAGGAAAATATCGCAGTCGTCTTCAGCAGCATATGACCGGTTTAGAGCAAGCTTACTTTAGTAGGCGTTTAAATAACACAGGTCAGCTTTAACTTTTCTTTTATATGCAAATTTTGTTCCTTTTGGAAAGATAGAGAAATGGTGGTTCGTCCTCATTACTCGTCCTGTTTCGAGTTATTGGGTTCGTTTCTCTTAACATAATCGATATATATATATATGTATGTATGACTAGCTTGTCGCTATGCTGTTTTTTATTTTACTTTAAACATATCCACAATATATACAAAGCAAAGTGATAGTGATAGCCGTAAAATTAAATTTCAATACAGTCCAAACGTAGATTTAGAATCCTTCATTACCTTAATGCTTCTTTTGTAGCAAATGATACCTTTTACGATGGTATCTAGAAATTTCGTGGAAACTGGGATTGAATACGACCATTTTATTCTTTTATGCTTCATCATAAAAGGAGCATTTCCGTAACATCATATAACCAGTCGTTGTTTTTTTTTTTTTTTTTCTCTTGATCATTCAAATGCGGACAGATTTATATTAATTCTTTTTTTAGTAATGCAACTTCCCGTATACAATATAACCATTTTTAATTCTTTCAGATATTTCCATTTACTTCCTATCCCTAGACTCAGTAACTCCGACCCTCCCTTTTCATCCATCCAGTTCAGCTTTTCTTTAAAGAAGTAGGTTTTGTATATTTAATATACCAACATTTTTTCTTTTTTTTTTTTTTTTTTGCAGAATCTAGGACTATTACGGATGATTCATTGGGTCCATGTTGCGACACTCTTGATGATTTTTCGCAAGTATTACACGCCATGTCGCAATATGGCAGTTTCCGGCGTTTAGCGTCTTTAAATTATAATGTTGCAGATGCAACAGCTGCATTATCTATTGTTTCAAGGTAATGCATTTTTCATTTGTGTTGTTAGCATTCTGGCCTCATCTGATTTTAACTAGTCTACCACAGGACGTAATTCAATATCAATGTCGGAGCGAAATAATGATACTATAAAAAGAGTTGTTTTTAATTTAAATGAAGTTCAATACAAAAACACCTTGACAAAAACAACATGAGTAATTTCTAGAAGGCATTAATACTTTTCAAAGTGTTTCAAGGGAGTAGTATTATTACTGCAAAATGAGAACCGTGTTTATGTTATTTCAAATGGTTATAATAAAGGTATTGCGAAAAAAGATTTCTTCAGCATTGAATTCGACAAAGATGGTGAATATTTTATCCTGGCGGGTGTTGCTAAACGTATAAAAGTGTATGAATTCCAATCAGTTATCGAAAACACAGATACTTTGCATTATCCTGTTACTCAGCTTCAGTGTACGTCCAAAATCAGGTCTTTATATTTTTTCAGCTTTTCTGCATTTTTTCATCATTGTTCCTTGGTCCTAGTAGCAGTTTGTTTGAGGAAATTTAACAATGATAATTTGTTTCCAGTAATGTGTCATGGAATCCCTATTGTAAAAACACTCTTGCAAGCAGTGATTACGATGGAACAGTACAACTTTGGGATACCTCACTTGCAAAATCAATTAGGCGTTATCAGGTCTGCCTTCTGTAGTATATTTCATGTCTTTATGTAATTGGCGAAATTTGAAACCAAATTGTAGAATGTCACGACTTTTCATGTGGATTATAACTTTGTCCATTTCGGTCATATCTATATTGAGAAGCTTATGAGAGATAAATTTTATTCTAATTCGTTATAAATTAGCTGGAAATATTGCTTTTTATGAACATGAGAAGCGATGTTGGACTGTGGTCTTCAACAGTGTTGATCCTCATTTAATGGCTTCTGGATCTGATGATGCACGAGTGAGTTTTGTTAGTCTTATGAGTATTTGAATTGAAATTCTCTGAATATTTTTACGCCCCTAGTCATCAGGTGATCTATACGGTTACTGTTTTCATCTGTATGATTACAAGCGGTAAAAGTGGAGAACTGGTTCGTAAATACCTTGCTAAGCTTGATAATTCCAGTATTCTTTCAAATATTAAGCAGATTTTATCAACATAATAGGTGAAACTTTGGTCAATCGGTGTGGATCGTTCTGTGGCAACAATTGATGCTAAAGTCAATGTATGTTGCGTCTGTTTCAGTCCAACGCAGCGAAATTATCTTGTTTTTGGTTCTGCCGGTAAGAGCTTTTTTTTTAAGCATTCAAATTCAAAATTTTAAAGCCGCTAATTAATAGGATGATAAACAGAGCGTTTGGGCAATTGTTTTACAACGTTTGAAGATCTGTTTGTTCCATATTGGTTTTTTAACAGTGTGGGTATTAGTTCTATTGCTACAGACTATGTAATTTATATAAAATTGAATTCATACAAAAGTTTGATATATCATAGATCACTGCATTCACTTGTACGATATCCGAAGACCGATAGAACCGGTTAATGTCTTTCGTGGCCATCGAAAGGCAGTATCTTACGTCAAATATTGTACCGAAAATGAAGTCGTTTCAGCGTTAGCTTTTGTCTTTATTTTGCCTTTTTTTTTTTTTCTCGTATGTTTCCATAATTATATTCGAAGAAATTGTATCCGTAAAGGTATTTTTGCATTTCATTTATGCCTTGATTTTGGTTTGAAAATGTTCATTTTATATATCTCAAAATGACATAAAATACAGGTCTACCGATAGTAATCTCCGATTATGGGATGTAGGTAGCGGAAAATGTATACGCACTATGAAAGGTCATCAAAATGAAAGAAATTTTGTGGGTTTGGCAACCGATGGTAATCACATCGTATGTGGTAAGTTGTTTTTATACTTTAAATTTGAACTGGTATTTTTTAAAATAAATTTGCAAGAGAACAGACTCTGTGAATTAGGTTCATTAAAGCTATGAAAAAGCTACTGCAGGATCGGAAAATAATCATCTCTATCTGTATCATAAGGGCTTATGCGATCCGTTAATGTGCTATGATTTCGGTCGTGCAGATAATACTCGTTCGGCGCTTCTGGCAACTGATTCTTCTTCTGATTTTGTGTCTGCTGTTAGTTGGAAAAAGGTATTTATTTATCGAATTATAAAAATATTTGAGTCGAAACTCATCGGTTGATTTTGAAATTGAAGTAACTTATTGAATAATATTTTAGAATTCGAATATTGTTGTGGCAGCGAACAGTCAAGGAACAACACATGTATTTGAACTTATTTAGCATATATTTAGCCTTTTTTTTCTCTTTGATATCGGTGAAATCTCAGACGTACACTTTTATTGTTTTTTAACATTTGTTGTTTCGACATCGACACATTTATCTCATTTTTGTCTTTCAAAATCATATTTAAGGTTTCTTACTTGTATTTTTATTTGATTGATTTTATGGGAAATTTTAATTTTCTAATAATTGAGCAGTGGAAGATTTAAATTTTTATTATTGAAGAAAAATGTTCCTCATATTTAAAGATATTGGAATCGCTTCATGATTTTTATTACATACTAACTAAATGTAATGCATTTTATTGAATTTGCATTGCATGTTTTAATTACAGTAGATTAGAAGTAATTATAGAATCAGACTTTTTTTTGATCTACTAACAATGCTGGACACCACAATGGGAAATTTTTTTTTTTTTTTTTTTATGAATGGAAAAAATTTCACTCCATAAGAAATACAAATCATGTTCTGTGAACTTGGAAAGAAATTTCACTCCATGAGAAATCATTCAAATTAAATGTGGATCGACTGCAGACCAAGCTTATAACTTAATGATGATGAACCAAAAGAATTGCATTTTCTACTATTCAGTTGCGTATTTTTCACTATTTCTGCAAGAAATAGTAGCTATCAAAATATTTTTATATTAATATAGGCTTATTACCTGATAATGAAATTATGAGGAGAAAAGTTATAACTTTTTTCGTTATAATTTGTGTTGGCTTAGTTTTGCAATGGGTTTTGGATTCCAGTTGGTTACAGCGCGATTCTTCGTCTGTTTCTCTCGAAATTTTTAAGTGAAAACTTTACAAAATTGTCATGCGAATCGTTCTGTTCGATAATGTTCGCAGATTTTTAACAGTTCTTGTTGTGATTTTTTTATAAATGTCTGACGTCGATGATGGTATGAGGCACTTTGTTATCACATACAACTACATAATTATTTACTTGTGGTTATTGCTGAAGTAACTCTGCTGGTGATTACAGAGTGCAAGGAAAATTAGTGTGCTAAGCCTTTTGGCTTTGTATGTTTCCATTCTCTTGTAATTTAAGCGTACCAGCATAGTAATTTCTATCTTTGTAATGGTTAAAGCCAGTTCTGAAATAAGAGGACGTAAGCAAATGCTATGGGTGGCATTTTATATAATTAAAAACATGCTTTTATTGCAGTATAATGAAAAGAATGTCCATACACATGATTATATAATTAAAAAACATCGCTTAATCACATTATATACACTTGTGCGTCCCATTTCATGAACTTTCCTTGAATTGCACTATTTGCAAACTATTTTGGAAGAACGACGTGGTAAATGATGGGGTTGTCGGGTCCTTCCAAATTAAAAACCTACAAAGAAAGATGAATAATAATGGTAAGTTTGCATCAGTTATGATTCAAAAAATGAACTGCGTAACATTCTCCGACTTGACTTTACGGTTGTCCCTCCTTTATAGAAAGTGCGTGTTTTCATGAAATTTTAATGCTTGGATAGAGAGGATCTTAAGTAATTTTATAAAATCCAGTATTGGTAAAAATAAATTGCCCATATCGATGAGTTCAAACCATAAATCATTAACGCAGTATCTATGTTACCACCACATATATACAAACATCTGGATTTCTGAGGTATTTTTTTTGAATGGAACGCACGAGTAGCGTCAATAATGAATTTTGGGCTTTAGTTCACAAGAAAAACTGAAAATGCGGCAAGTGATGGAGAGGGATGTTGTCGCTGTAGTTACGCTGAAGGACATAAATACGCTGATGATAGTAATGATATCAGTAGAAACAGTACTGGTAACAATATTCATGATAGCGATGGTACTGCAACGCGACAATGGAAAGATTCTGGAAAGACGATAACGTTGAGCAAGTAGCTAACGTAAATTCAGTCAAAAAAACAATATTGGATCTGCTGTGGAATTCTTCTCCTTTTCGTTCATGGATCCTTCATCAAAATATTGTGCGTACTGTAAATTTAAAATAAATAAGAAAAAAAAGTGATAAGTATTGTTAAGACATATTAAAGTTAGTTTTGCATCATATCCAAAAGCGGTCCTGGAAGATCTTAGCTATTTTTGAGATTCTTGGTTAACAAGCTGTAGGAGTCAAAGTTATAACATATGATAGTGCTATAATAAAGAACATACAGCATCTTCGATCCACCGGAATATGTGAACATTGTATGGAACATAAGGCTGCCTGATGAGATGTTCTTGAACTTCGAGAAATCTTTTCAAATCTTCAAGTGTTATGCGCTCTTTGCTTGGCCTGTAGTTGATATTATAAAATTTCATATTATTTCTTCACTCCAAAAACATCCTGGTTTCTGATTAATAACAATAATTATTATTTCAATAAATAATGATAATAAATCATAATACAGGATTCTCTCCCTATCTCTCGCTAGATTTTAGTTTAAGTCTGAAACTTTAATATTAAAAAATTACTCCTATACCAAATTTGTTTCCAACCGCCCATTATCTTTCTTCACCTTGTTTGTTTCTTATTTCTTTACAGATGGATATGTCTAAAGAATATTTCATTTTCTTTAATCTCTAATTGTTTCTGGTCAAAACGATGTCAACCAAATCTGGAGTGTATTGCGCACTTCATGCTAAATAGTAGACAAACACAAAAAGAAACAGAAAGGGAAGTTCTATACAATATTTGCTGGCAGTTATATGGAGATTATTGTACTCATTAAGTAAGCATAATTTACCAGCTTTTATTTTTCTCCTTTATCGTCGTCTTCTCATACTTTCAAAATTAAATAGAATTCTGTTAATAATACTTACCGCAATTAAGTATTAAATATTTAAGTGAATGAATTAGTTAGTTATTTCATCAAATAAATCAGTACGTAAATCATGACAATAAGGAATTTCTCAGGTAATACGAGACATCAACCAATCGTACTCAACAAAGTGTTGATAAGAGCGCTGTGTAATACGCGCACCTTGTCTTTTTGAGAGCTGCAATAATCCTCATAGCTTCACGGATATCATCGCTAACACTTGCGAAACCTCTGCGTGCTCCTCGAATCTTCCGACCGAAATAATGCAGTTTAGTGAATGTTCGTTTTAGTGTTGAGCTGCATAAATCTAACGATGCTGTTATCACTGCCAAACCGATTATCACATAAGCAATCACTAACTGCAAGAAGTGATTATAATTGGTACATAATGAATTGAATAAATAATTCGAGGTAAATATTCATCCTTTAAGGCAAAAAAAAAGTCTATTTCATTTGAAACTTTCATCTTGCAATTCAAGATAGAATAACGCTTTAAAAAGAACTTTAGTGCATCGCAGTGCGACAACTACTCCTTCAGGTTTTGCAGCACATACTTCTTTCTTCCGAAAAAAACTTCAACTATATTTCAGAAATCATAGAGACAAAAAGCTATCTCTATAAAGTGAGAGATAACTAACAGCCAGATAGAATTGATTCCTAACATGGATATTCCCGAGGCCAATTGTCGTAATAGTATTAAATGAGAAAAACACACCGTGCATAAATGACCTGCAAAATAATTCAATCTAAATCAAGGTTCTTGAAAAGAAATTTTTAAGTCGTGATCTCCATTCAACATTTTCAGTAAAATAATTGATGCAATTATTTAAGCCTCTATTTCTCTACAAATTCGATATTTATTTGTGTTTTCATCATTTCACTGTTTCTTCATCTATTTATAGGACTCTTACACTTTGACTTGCTTAATCTCCTTTAATTTTCTCAACAATTTCACTTTTCTACGTGATTTTCCATGTAACTATTTTGGTGCAATAATAGCTTTTATTCGTTTCTGATGTAAGTGAAATAAATATTTGTACTTACCATATGGGTCCCTTTTCAAAAGTATTAAAAAGCATACTCCCAATAGCACAGTATCCAATGATTAATCCGAAATAAGAAGCAATAGGAAGTTGTACTCGTCCTTCTTCATCTTCATCATCACCCAACACACTCTGTGGTCGAGTAGTACGTCTTTTTCTATAGTTTAAAATAAATCTTTATAATATGGAAAACGATTGTTATAAAATACATCTCTAAATAATGATAGAGCGCATCGAAGAACTAACAAATATCGCTGAAGGGGTATTTAATACTTTGTATAGTAATATTACGAAAATAAGATGACTCTAACCTGGAATCGATAGAATCGTCGTCATCCTTGACGCAATCACGAATCGCATCTATTACGGAACCAATCCATTCAATCAGTTCTAGCAGTTTGCTGTATGATCGTATTACAATTTCTGACAGAAATTTACCAATATCAGCTGCAGTGATGAACATCAGTGGTATACCAACCAGACCAAAAAATACCGTAAACAGTCGTCCGGGATTAGTACTTGGTGTTACGTGATCATATCCTGGAAAATGAGGACATAAATAGCCTTCGTAATGGTAACCAATTTTAAAATGTGCTTTGGAATTGGATCTAGAGAAAAAATATTGGAATCTTAACGAACCAGTAGATGTAATGACGGTTAATGCGTATAATGCAGAAGCAGCGAATGACCATCGCGTAGCAAGTTCTTCCTCAGAATCAGTCCATAGTTGAGCATTTAGCGTGAAACGATCGTCATATTCGTGTGTACTTGATAAGACTGATAGCAACGGACGTATCCGCCGTTCGACCTATGATTCCAGAATATCGGATTGTGATCACAATCCCATACAGATAATTGTGACAAATTAAGTCCACATAATACAGTTGAATGTTTCAAATTAATTTTTCTACTTTACCATTATTCCTCTTTATTAGGCTCCCCTGTTTTCAAAAATGAAAAGATACTTTCAAAAAATACCTTCAAGCTCTATGCCTTAAATTTTGCTTTTTGTCCCTCCAGCAGAATGCCCCACCCTTTCGTAGTAAGCAGTCAGAAAATATTTAAGAAAATCCTGCATTTCATTAAAAGTAGAAATTTCAGATGCCATACACCACATATGTATAAATTGGCAGATCCAAGTTCAAGCATGTAGCACTGT